GTCTGCTTCTCCCTCTGACCCTCCCCCCTCTCATGTGCTTGCTCTCTCTCATTCTCTCTCTCTCAAATAAATAAATAAAATCTTTAAAAAAAATAAGTTGATATTAATGACATGATTGAAGTTTGAACGGTGACTGGTATTTGATGACATGATTTTTTCCAGTTGTGATAATGGTATTGTGATGTTGTCAAAAAGCTAGCCCTTATCATTCTGACACATCCACGGATTCGACGGTGTGAGGTCTGGGGGGTTGTGGGGTGGGTTGGCACCGAAGCAGCCTTGGTCGTGGGTTGATACTATTATAACAGAGGGGTAGGGTTTTGTCAGTCTCTGCTGCTATTTCCATGTATGCTCGAACTTTTCTTTAGTAACACATAAATCAAAGGGGCGCCTGGCTGGTGCAGTCGGTTAAGTGTCCGACTCTTGATTTCGGTTCAGGTCGTGATCTCGGAGTTGTGAGATTGAGCCCTGCATTGGGCTCTACACTCGGTGTGGAGTCGGCTTGGGATTCTCTCTCTCCCTCTCCCTCTCCCCACCCCTCAACGTGCATGGGCATGCTCTCTAAGTAAATAAATACAATCTTTTAAAAAAAAGAGTAAGTCAGGGCCTCATCTACAGGGAATGATTAGTTTGGGTGATGGTCGTAGAAAATGGAATCATGACGGGAGGGACCCCTTCTAAACAGCACAGCAACAGTAAAAAAGACGAGCATTTATCGAATGCTGGTGAGCTCAGCCCTGTGCTGGGCCTCATCTGTGTGTGACCCTGTTTACTCTTCACAGCACCCCTATAACACAGGCGTTATTGCTACCGTCACCTACAGGGGAGGGAACTGAGGTTCAGAGAGCTTAAGAAACCTGCCTAGAGTCACACAGCTAGGAGGTGATTTGTAAAATCCGGGACACAGACCCATCCTGACTCCAGAAGCCTTACTGCTGGGATCTGGGCCTGAGTTTTTGCTCCAGTACCTGTGTTCTTTCTACCCTATCACCCCGCTGCCATTTAAAAAAATTAAAAAATCATGATTACTTTCCTGATATAAAAATGCCAACTATAGAAATGATAAAATAACACACTGCTACTCGTTTTTTTTCGAGAAGCTAGGATACACGTCAAAACAGAGCTTAAGGCTAAGGCTACTGGTGGGGGGCATCTTTCCAGAGGGGAAGGGGGGTTCAGGGCAGGTGGTAGGACGGGGGCTGGGTCTGAAGAACGAAGAAGAAATTTTCACTGTTTCTGTGTGCAAGAGAAGTCCTGTTTCTCCGCATTGTGGTTCACCCGCCCTCACCCCCGAGGCTGTCCTATCTCCTTTTCAGCAAAGCAAGTGGCCTCTGATGTTCAGGGGAAACCTGAGGCTGCCCAGAGTCTTGGGGTCCCCGGTGCTGCCCCCTGAGGCTGAGCTGCTACCATCTGCCTTAAATCCCGACCTCCGAAACAAGCCCGGAACCCCAGGGACAAAGCCCTTTCTTTCTTTGCTCACTTTACTTTTTCAATGCAAGTTTAAGGCACTTCTGTCTTAGAAAAAAAGGATAAGATGGTGACCATCCAGTGTGCTATCATGCCTAGTGCCCTTGATAGCTTGCCCTCCCAGGTTCCTCCACCCAGCCCGGAGCAGCTCCCTCCACTACCCATGAGGTAGGTGGCAGAGTCCCTCGGTAAAGCGACTCAACGGATAGCCTCACAGACAACTTCGTCCCGGTGTCCGTTTCCTTTTTACCAAAGGTGTTCTTAATTTTTAAGCTCAAAATAAATGTGGAGGTTCACCCAAAACACGTACAGCAATGTTTACAGCCACACTACTCATCGTGGCCCAAACTGGAAGCTATGCGAATGGTACCAGTGGTGGAATGGTGGGCACACTGCCGTATGTTCCCACGGTGGAATACTACACGGCCAAGAAGATGAACCAACTCCTGCCACGCTCAACAGTACGCGTGGATCTCACGGTACAAAGTTGGGCAAAAGACACAAAAGAAGACGCACTGCATGATTTCTTTTATATAAAATCCAAAGCAGAGGACAGCCATCTGTGCCGTGAGCAGACAGGACAGGGGCGACGCTTGGAGGGAATGGGGACTGGGACGGGCAGGAAGGGGGAATTCTGGGGTGCCGGGGAGGTTCTGCCCCGTGATCAAGGTGCCCGTTACACAGCTGTGTTCACTTAGAGGAAAAGTCATCAAGGTGTGCACGAATGATCTGTTTTTATAGAGCACCTCAATACACATTTCAGAAATGTATGCAGATTAAAAAGAAAATTCGTTATTTTCTTCATGTTTGGTGACATGCAGAGTGTGACACGGTCCCCCCAGCAGAGGGTATTTGGTCGACAATGACCCACGTCAGAAGGACTTGCCCAAGCAGTGGGTGATTCTCTGGCACCTCTACCCAAGTCTCAGGACCTTACCTATATCTTCCTTGAGGTCAATTTCGGCTGTGGTTGGGTGGACAATACCCTCCACTCTCATGGAGCCAATATGGCTGATGTCACTCTGAGTCAGGGACAGCTGCGTCAGGAAGGAAAGATGGAGAGGGTGGGAAAGATCAGATTCAATTAAAAACATCTTCACATTTTACCTCCCATTTGTTAATTCTCTCAGTTATTTATAGCGCATGTCCACACATAGGGCTGTGGCATTGAGTGACTGTCAAGTTTGCCAGGTGTTTGGTCTTCGGCGGGCTCTTCAGAGCTCAGTGGATTTGATTTTCACTGTGACTCGGGCCCTCCCCTCTTCTTCCTTTCCCTAGAGCTGCGCCTCCGTCTCCCAGGCCCTGGGCCCTTGGTGTGGGGTGACACACGGTCGGAGCATCTCCTAGGAGGGAAGCCCGGGCTGGATCTCCACCCTCCCCTCAGCACCCCGCATTCTTCCTGGAGCAACCCAGACCTCTGGGGGCAGGGGCGTGCGGCCGATGGACCTTGCTCGAGACACATGATGGGCTCTGGGATTCCGACCTGCCTACGTCGGGCCACCTTGCCTTTTGGGGACCACGTTCTTGGGGCTACACTTGTGAAATGCTGCCCTAGGTGCTCACAGCTGAGCGGAATGCAGAGCATTTTCCATAGCCTCCCCTGTGAGCACGACAGCCACGTTCCCCTAGGTAAGGGAGAGAAAGCTAATCGTCATGCAACTGTGGCCAGCCCCCAGAGGGGACCTCAATCCCACCTCTTTGTTTCCCTGTGTTCATCAGTGAAAAATGAGGAACCTGCTCCATGTACGCTCTTCCCTAACACGTTCTTCCCATTTGCTGCAGTAGGGGTGGGTCCTATTACCAGGCTGCAAACATTCCGCTACCGGAGATGAGATTCACTGACTGTTTTCCTGTGTGTGTCTTACTTCAGCCCCGTTTGACATGGTAGATAAATGGTCTGTTCCGTAAACTTTATGCTAGTGGGAATGAATTATTTGCATGTCTGTCTGGGCTGCTGCAGACTATTCAAACGTATAGCCCTGTTTGTTTTCTTTCTGCAATCTAGAAAGGCAAGCAGACTGAATTATTGGCAAATAATTCATTTCTAACACCCGGGATGTTCAGGAAACATATATCTCTATTTTCTTTCTCTGATAAATCACATCGAACCATGTCAGGCTGGCCTCCCAGAGCTGTTTGAGAAAGTTAGCGAAGGATGTTTTGGGGGGGCCCAGGAATGAGTGGGGCATGGGGAGTTCCCGGCAATGATGCTATTCTTTCGCCTGACCAGGAAGGTTCTCTAACCTTACCTTTGTCTGACCGATGTCAGCATGAATACTTCTTGGCACTAAAGAGCTTGTTGACGCTCACAATGTAGACCCTGTCAAAGCTCTTTAGTCTAAATGTGAATAATTTAAGACCAGAGTGAAAGTCTTTTTAGGGGAGCAAGGGATGAAGGAAGCATGGTTGCTTGCAAACAGGAGGTTATAAAAGTGAAAAAGCATTTTTATGACAGCACATTACAGTGGTCTTTATTACCTTCTGCCCTAGAACAAGGCTCTTAGAAGACAGAATGGTGAATCCATCCCCTGGCCCATCTTCAGAGGTGGAATTTGAAGTTCCTTCTTTGTCGCTGTCCTTTGGTTTGGACTGTCGGTAGAAATCAGAAGGACAGATGGGAAATAACCCAGAAAAAGCCCCAAGTGGCATTATTAAGTTCTTCCTATGGCTACCACCACCTTGGATGTGAAAGGAAGTGGTTAGGTGTTACTGCTCTGCTGTTCTTGATGGAGGGAAGCAAGGGACAGCAATACGAGGGAGAAAAAAAGGGTGCCGCCCAAAAGAAAGAGTGTTAAAGAGTTTCACAGGTACCTATATTCCTCACTCAAACCTGGACACAGATATGTTATTCTTGTCCTCTGCAATGCCCGCAGCTTATGATGGCAAACATCAGAACCAAGCAGGGTCACTCCTAGCCCACTGTTCGACCCCCCTTCTCCCCAGGATCTCCCTGGGGCACAGAGGCAGTGGAGTGGACTCTTACAAATCTTTTGTGTTATCACGGAGGTCTGTGGAATGGAAATTTGACAACCCCTGAAGCAACGTTGTCCAGTAGAACTTTCTGCGATCATGGAAATGTCTTATGCCTAGTGAGCACTTGAAATGTGGGTAATGCAACCAAGGAACTGAATTTTTAATCTGATTTAGTTTTAATGAATTCCAATTCAAAGACCCACATGTGGCTAGTGGTTATCGTATGGGGCCGCATATGAAAGTCTTACCCTGCAAATGGCATCTCTGAGCTGTGGTTACCTAGCACATCAGGCTATCCACATCCCACTGGCTGGACCCAGGGGACTGTCTACGGGAGACACAAGTCTGGGAGACAGAGACGTTTTTGTGTGCGATGCTGAGCTCTAAAGAGAAATGAAGAGCTCCAGGCTATCATCTCTCACTTAAGATTTTGATGGGAGCAGGGGAAGCATCTGGCAATGTGAAGACCACCCACGCTTTGGGTTTGGAAACCTCTAGTAGACCCTGCTTGGTGGTTTAAGCTCTCGTCCCAGAGGCCCTTTGCCATTTTCTCCCAGCTGGGAGAGTCCCCAGCCCGTCAGCAGTGCTCACTACACCCTCATCTTCTGATCATTCAAACTTCTCCTGTTCTCTGAGAGTCCCTGGCTCACACAGGCAACCCAGGCTCACCTTTTTGGACGTCCGTGGCTTGGCAGCCTTGGATTTCTTGCCTCCCTTCTTGCCTGACGCCGCCTTCCTTCCCCTTTTCTCTGGGGGAGGGGAGAGGATAGTTTCTGACTTGCCTTTGGTCCCTCGCTTTTTGGCCAGCAGTTCGGGATGAATTCTGGGCAGGACACCTCCACTGGCGATGGTCACTCCTTTTAGCAGCTAGAAAGAGAAATGTGTGAACTCAGGCAGCAAAGAGCTTGCTGGTTCTGGATTTCATACAGTTCTAACTGATGGCAAAACAAGTGTTAAATCTGGTCTTTGCTTTCCCAGAGGCACTGCATGATGGGTGGTTTAATTGGCTTTCCTGTTTCACCAGTAGAGTGTGTCTCTGTAGGGAGCAAGGCGTCCCATGGTCTCGTACAGAAAGCAAAACGAGTAAGGCACGATGAAAGGATATAGAGGCTGCAGCCAGGGATGTTGCTGGGGCTGTGGGATTCCAGACAGAATAGAGGCTACAGAGCTTCCCAGGTGGGGAGCACAGCTTGACAAAACTGGGTTCAAAGGTCCATGCTAGGGCTAGACCCAGTTAACAACAGACCAGTGGTCTCCACACTCTTGTGATCACGCATTCCATCAGTAAAGTATGTTTGGCCATGTGCCTCTCCATTAATGTTTATTTTGTACATAATCGACATGTGCTACTACATTAGTGAAGTGGGCACGTCCCGAAGCAGCTCGGGTGCTCCAAGTGTGGGCTGCAGCGGGGGCTGGTCCACGGACAGGCAGTTACTGTCTGGGACAAGAGAAATACAGAAATGGCAAGGAAGAGTCCAGAAACTTGTAGAGCAAGCTGGCAGAGGTATTGTATATCTATTGGATCAAATAGCCAAGAATTGTGGCTTGTATGTATTTGTTTTTAAAATTTTTTCTGGCAATTAGTTTTTATTGTATTTTTGGAAATTACCAGTCCATGATGGACTGGAAATAAGAACTGATTCTTTACCACACACAATTTGAGAAGAAAGAGATTAGAATAAAAATTCTTATACCCTCCTCTTATATCCCCCCTACCCTGCGGGAGGCATTCACAACACTTGGGAATTAATTCTATGCTATGAAGAAGCTTCTCCTACCCTCATCAGAATAAATCATCAACAAAATTCGGGTGAAGAAACCGTGAATAACATCTCTGCACTGCACCTTCCCCAGCCACACACAGAGCTCGCTTCTAGAGAGGAAAAGAAGGTCTGGCAAGACTCAGAGTAGATAACAGGTCTATTCCAGAGGCAATTTTCTACCTGAATGATAGAGCTAGCAGAATTGGTTCTTCTCTTACACTATCTGAATAATTTTTTTTGTATTAATATGCTTGGGAATTGTAGCAGAATGATTCATAGCCAACCGGGTCCACATGCGGTCATGTGTCCGGCAAACCCATTCTGTGGCTGGTCGAGATGTTTCAGACAGACGTACCTGATTGAGCTCCTCGTCATTGGCCACTGCCAGCAGGATGTGTCTCGGAGCTATCCGGGCCTTCTTGTTGTCCCTTGCAGCATTCCCAGCCAGTTCTAGAATTTCCGCTGAAATCACAATGGGGAGTTAATAGGCAATCACAGCATGGGGTCTGCGCTTTCTAGAGCTTTTCTTTGGAAATGGTCTTTGAATGTAATCACATTGATTCGTTTGTGAGTTTTAATGCCGGGGCCTGGAAAGAAATCCAGAAAGCTGGAGAGAACTCAGGTTACAGACGAGGAGGATGGTTTAGCAAGACCGGGTCTATGATCCCGTGGCAGTCTTCTAGCAGCCCTCGACATTAATTCTCCCTCACCTTCCTTAGCGTTTGGCCCTCTGAGTTTTTTGTTGAGCCCATCATCACAGGAGGAAAGGGTATTTCCCAACCTGCCTTATCGATAACTGTGGTCACGTGACTAGATTCTGGCCAATGAAAGGCAGGTGTCCTCCTGTACGACACTTCTGGGAAGTGTCCATCAGTGGCGGGACTGTGCCCTCCTTCCCTTTCTGCTGGCCGGCTGAGGACGTGATGGCTGGAATTCGGCCCAGAGGAAGAACAACAAGATAGAAGGAACTGGAGTCTCTTATGACGGTGGAGGCTCCTGACTGGCCTGTCCTTACTCCTGGACTGTCTGCTGTAGACTTCTTTTGTATGAGAGAGAAGCAAACTCTCCCGTGTAAGCCACAGTGAGCAGGAGTTCATGCTGACCAATACGGAGCCCTAACACAAGACCTGTGTCTCTTCCAGTCTTAGGAGAGCAGGGCCATCTCTGAAGAGAACAGTGATGTAGGCAGAGTCTGTCTTTGGTGCCCAATGGGACACCTTCCAGAATCTCCTTTTCCTCTTCACTTAATGCCCCAGGTCCCTCCTGTCCTAAAGGAAAGTGGATGGGAAGAACTAAATTGTGGGGTGAGGAAATGCTTAACCCGGAAAGTGAATTCGGAAGGAAGGAAGGGATTTGGGATTTGGGGGGTTTCCACATATCCCTCAGGATCTGACTTTAACAAATATGTCATTTGATAAACGTAAAAGGGCTGATAAAGAAGAATTTTCCTAAAACTGTCTTACATGTCATCAAAATTTTTAGTCAAAATTAAAAAAAAAATCTATAGAATTGGTTCATGCCATCTATATGCTTTCCCCTCCTCCTCTGTCTCTTTCTTCCTCAATTTCAGAGGGATGTTCTGCTAATCAAATTTGTCCACCTTCAAAAGTATTAATGAGGCTTCAAAGAAAAATTCCTTCCCTTAGAAAGCTAGAGGCAATGTGCCCATGTGCTGTCTCACTGATAATGTGGTCGCAAAATGTGTGTGTGTGTGTGTGTGTGTGTGTGTGTTGGGAGAATTTGCTGGTACAACGGCATAAATACCAAGCTCTAAAATTAACAGGCAATTCTGTGTGAGTCTTTACAATCAACCTAATTTCAAATAAATAGCACATGAAATTGCCATCACTCATAAAAATCTATGGCAATAAAAAAAACTGCGTAAGTATGCCATATTAACTAAGCAAATGTGATTAACAAAAAATTAGAATAAAATATGCATTAGAGTTAAATATTTATATAGAATTTCCATAATGAAAAGTGCTAAATCACTGCAAATTCATTCTCACAATATCTTTTCCAGGTTATTAAGCAATGAGTATCGTGTTTACCAACAATCCATTTATACGGTGGTCGTGTTTTTGGAATCAAAGGCTGGGGGACTGTAGTTTGAGAAGTATGAGCACATCTGTTGGGACAATGGGATAGAGTATTTGAAATTCATGCCCTATTAGGTCATCTGGTTGGCTGCATTCAAGCTGCTGCCCAACCCTTTCTTTCCCTTACAAGAAGGGTACCCATCACAAAGAAATGTGGTTATAAAGCTTTCACTAATAGGCTGGCTTTTTCGACTCTAGGTTAAAACGTACAGCTCCCCATTGTGCACAATAAAAAGGAGCTGCCTGCACCTGCTCATCTTGGGGGTCCCACACCTGGGAGGAAGGAGCACTCCTCTCACCCTTTTTTCTAGATTGGATGGGGGTGTCAAGGAGCCTCCCACTTTTAAGCTTCTGAGCAACAGAATTTAATTTAGCACCTCGGACTACCACTTTCCTGCCCATGTCACCCGCACTTAGAGGACCTTAAGCGTCCTGCCAAGTTCCGCAAATTAGCTATCAGCATGAGAGGCTGGGCTAAATGGGAAGCCCTACAGACTTGGAGCCTTCAGGAAGCGCCTGAGGTCGGGTTATTTTCAGCTTGACAGACAGACAGATGCATGGACATTGGATTCACAGATGGACAGCCCGCCGGAATCCAAGGCAGCCTGTCCAGAGACTGAGGGAGTGATGCAGTGGGCAGTCCCGTGCGGGGCACACAGGCTCGGCTTGGCCAGCGTGCCACTGGGCTCCCGTACTAGCCCTTCCCAAATCAGTTAGAGGAGAGAAAAACCTCGATTCTGTGCTCTAGCGCAAAAGCAGAGGTAGACTTTTGCTCTAGAAAGAGAAAAACTTCTTAATAATACACAGCTGAAAATCTAGACCAAGGACTTCCCTGTTGGATATTTGGTCTGACCATTCCTTGGGACAAGGACGTCATGGTTTAAATGTCTGAAATAGCATTAATTATTATTAATATTTTCAAATGTTATTATGACCAATATATTCACACGAACTATAAATGTTTGTTACATTCTTGAGTGATTTTATTGATCTTGAGAACATAAGTATCCTTCTATTGGCAGTCAGTAGGAAAAATGGATGTATACAGCACAAATTTGTTTTGCTGAAAATTTTGTGAGAAGATTATTATTCTGTTAAGTGGTGAAGACTTCCATGGAAGTCTATAGACTTCTATATTCTCGGAAGTCACACTTCCAGCAATAAGAACCATCCGAAATACAGCTTAGAATCTGGTCGTAAAAGAAATGATTTCTGTAGCCAAAAGAGAACCTGTTGGAAAGCTCATCATGCACATAATCTTGGAAGAGTTGGGTCCTCTCATTTTGTCCACAGTCTAAACCAACATTGGATACCCCAGCCCACAGGAGATGGGCAATAATGCAGTAACTGTCGGTCTGGGACAGAGGGCACAGAGTGGCCACACCTTCAAGACTGTCTCCTTCCTCAACCCCTTCTTCCTTGCCCATTTGCCCATGAGGTGATGGTGCCCCCAGGGGTCTGTCTGGGCCCCCTGGTCTGCCCAGGCCATGCAGTCTTCCAGGGAAACCCCATCCATTCACGGCTCTAGCTTCCCACATGCCCATGCCACCAGATCCGCACCTCCAGTCCTGATGTGACGTCACCTGGACAGCCTCCCTTGGGTGTTCCACAGGTAAATCGAACTCATCACGTCCCCAAATCCAAATCATTTCCTTGGGGGTGGCAGCTCTATCCACACACAGCTCCTCCCAGAGACCTGGGAATCCTTCCCTCCCCTTCCCCATCTCACCTCCTCTTGGCCTCACGAGTCACACACATTTGCCCCTCTTCTCCGCACCTGCTGCCATTACCTGAGTTGAGGCCCTCTTCTCTTTGAGCCCAGATAGTTGTCATGGCTGTCCAAATGGTTTCCCCGCCCCCATTTTTGTCTTCCTCCAGATCCATGCCAACAAGGCCACTGCTGGCCCATAGGCATCTCTGTACAAATTAGATGACCCTTCTGCCAGATACTTTACTTCCCTGATTTCGTTAGAATAACACCCTTTACTGCCATCTGCTGGCAGTGCTCATAATAAATATACAAATCTTGGAGGTCTATGAGTGGAGTGATACTCCCTTTGCTGCGGGTCCTTGCACAGTGTACAGCCTGCACAACCGTACATGCGGCCCTGGATGCCAAAGTGATCTTTTCAAAACATAAATGTAATAAATGAAAATTAGTAGATAAAGAAATGCTTGCTGTTAAATGGAGAGACCCGATTGTCTGGAAATGATGTAAATGATGGGTATCTATGTGACACAATGACTGAAGATGCCCTGAAATTCAAGCTTTTTTAAAAACCTATCTGTCCTATCAATTAAAAATATGTTACAGAACGTTTCCTCGCTACAAAAATGATTTAAATTATTCATTTTCGACATCTTACATTTATGTTATATCTACTGTTGGTAAATACAAAACTATTTTCCAGAATTGGGGGTTTGCTTTTTCAGTCCATCTTCCCTCACTTTTATTCGAGATGTGAACTGGACCAACACTTACAGATTGACAAACTGAAGTATGAATGTGATGTCCATTCTGGGAGGCTTGAGGCTGTCTCAGGTGGAAGGGACATTCTAGATGAGCAGTTCAGCATGCATCTGCCACCAGGTTGTACAACCTCCTCCCCCTTTCTTGGGGCTAGAAACACTGCATGGCTCTAACATCGTGGTGATGTGTGAACCAGGGCCCAGTCCGGAGAGATCACGCAAGGCAGACTGCTCTCTCTCCCCCAGAGTAGCTGAAAATTTGTGCGACTTTTTTTTTTGGCGAAGTAGCCCCCAGCCTCCTCTTACTGGCCATGCCTGTGACTCCAGGGCCCCTTTCCAAGGCACCGAGTGAGGAGAGAGGACCTTCAGAGCCCACAGTCATGAATCTGAGGGGAGACGTAAGCTGGCCACAGGAAATCACGCACACAGGCCTGGCGGGTCCCAGAACATCAGCTGTTTTATGAGGAGACGGTGAAGGTGATGCTCTGTGCGTGTAGGAGGGTGTCGGCCAGAGGCTGATGTGCCTATATGGGCTCCTCTCCTTCTGGAAGCCAGAGGAGGGACCTACCCCCTTCGACCAGAACCTCCAGCCAGCTCCAGAGGCCCCAGGGTCCCCAGTTCCCCAATGGGCCACTTGTCTCCAGCATCTCTAGCTTCTCTCCCTCTCCCAGGGATGCTGTATGTCCTTGCCGGTGCCAGGAACTCCTTCGGTAGTCTGGGGAGGCCTATGGACCGCTTCTCAGGATAAAGGGTTTTGTAAAATTGTGATAAAATACACAGAACATGAAATTTACCATTTCTAAGTGAATAGCTCAGTGGCATCAATTACATTCCCAGTATTGTGCAACCGTCCCCCCCATCCATCTCCAGCACTTCCGCATCCGAAATGGAAGCTCCG